GGTGCGTGTGGAGCCGTCTGTGCGTGTGGAGCCGTCTGTGTGTGTGGAGCCGTCTGTGCGTGTGGAGCCATCTGTGTGTGTGTAGCCGTCTGAGGAGGTGTGTGTGGAGCCGTCTGTGAGTGTGGAGCCGTCTGAGGAGGTGTGTGTGGAGCCGTCTGTGAGTGTGGAGCCGTCTGAGGAGGTGCGTGTGGAGCCGTCTGTGCGTGTGGAGCCGTCTGTGCGTGTGGAGCTGTCTGAGGAGGGTTTGTGGGGCTGCCTAGGCCGAGACCTTTCATGTGCGCCTGGTGTAGACCGGGGGTCAGTGCTAGCATCATCTGCACCTGTCACCAATTTGGTTCCAAGGTTTCGATGTGTGTTGTGTCTCTGAGCAGACTGACCCCTTGGGTATCACCCTCATTCTGGTATCCATGGAGCGGCCACTCCGAGGCCACCAGGACATCACGTGGAGAGGGAAGGTCACACAGGGAGGCCGCCCCAATGGCGGCCCTACTGGGTTGTCCTTCCGTGAGCCTGAGCACCCCAGAGGTCGCATCACCGTGTGGAGGCCTCCGGGAAACTAGACAGAGGCCAGTTGGGGAACAGCGCAACCGTGACCTGGCCACCCCCAGATACTCAGGCCCCACGTCTGGGAAGCCCCACTGGCAGTAGGACCACTTCTGAGGTCGGATTGGACCATGTTTTTAAAGACGGGGTGGGATTTTAGATTCTACTTTGCCACATCCCTCCCCCATGTGCTCTGGGCGTCTCCCATGTGGCTGTCCTGTGGCCAGGGCCACCCCACAGTGGACCTCACGGTACCCACAGGAAGCCTGCTACACCCACCTGCTGGGTGGCCATTGATCCACAGCCCAGAATAGGTGAGCCCTGAGCAGTGGGCCATGCTGCCCAGTCCACTAAAGACGTCGCTGTGCCACTGTCCCTGCAGAGAGAAAGGCAAGGTTCAGGCTGGTGGCTCCCAAGGGGCTTGCGTGGGTCCCTGCAAGGCACTGCGGCTCCCTGGGGCTACCTCGGAGCCCCAGGACCAAAGGCTGCTAGAAAACCACATTGTCTCGAGGGTCCTTGCAGCCTGTCCCTTGGGGTGAGAAACTATGTTTCATTAGAATGTGATCCAATTTGCTTTGCAAAATATACTCCCCTTTGAATTTTAATGATGCCAGGAGGTATGGGAACAATGGCACAGTATATAAAATGCAAACAAAAACTTGAACGGGCACATTTTAGCACAAAAATCCTTCTAATACAAAGATACTGCATTTGTGCCGTGTATCATAAAGGAGGCCTGAACCCGCAAAGCGCTCGACTGCGGCGTTGGGATTAAGGTGCCCTGGTTGTCCGTCACACTGTTCATTTATACATGAAGGGGCCAATTAAAACACAGTTTGAAAAATCGTGCCTGTGTGCTTGCCCGTTCACTGCACACCGCAACTCTGCCTCCTCCATAACAAGCCTGGTTTCCAAGTCATACAACAAAGCCTGGGAAAACCATGGGAAAAGCATGGTGATTATGTTCATGGAAAATGTGAAGAAGTGGTATTTCATTTGACTCTGAATTACTTCCATTAGCAGAAAAATTAGCCAAAGGCATGTTTTGCTTCTATTCAGTCTTCAGCAGGAGCTAACTGGGCTCCTGCTTCTCTGCCCGGCCCTGCCAAGGTGCCTTTTCCAGGGAGCCCCGTGCAGCTGTGGCAGGTCTGCAGGGTGCAGCATGTGCCTTCTGGGGCCTCTACGGATCCTGGGACCTGGGACATATGGAAGAGATGCGGGACACCAGCGAGGGCCTACGGCCAGGGCTGAGGAGCCAGGCAGATCAGGGAGAAGGGGATGGTGCCAGCACTCTCTCTGGCCGCAGGGAGACAGGGCCTCTGCAGACAGCCCTGAAGGCGACAGCCCCAAAGGTAAAATGGATTGCTCCCAAAGGCTGGGGAAAGCCAGGTGCAAGAGGGGCTGTGGTGCGGGGTGTAGTGAATTGCATTTGCAGATGGGCTAAAAAGGAGCCTCCAGGCCCAGGCCATCAGTGGTGGGCGGGGCAGTGCGGCTGGCAGCTGCTGGCCTGGAGCACGGCTCACGCCTCCAGGCAGGGGACTCCAAGACAACTGGTAGCCTTAGCCCGAGTGGGTGCTTGGCGGCAGCAAAAACACAGCTCTCAGCTTCAGGAGAGGCCGGGCAGCTAGCTGGGGGTGCCAGGTGGGCAGAGGACCGGCTGCTGTCTGGACAGGGACCTTGCTCCTGAGGCTCTTGTCCCTCCAGCACGCAGACCCCAAGATCCCAGCCAGCACCCATCTGGCTGCATTCCTGCCCTGTTCTGAGCTGAGTGCGCCACTGATGTTGGCCCCTTGGCCCAGACACTTGCCCTGAAGATCATAGCCCGGTCACTGTGCCACCCTGGGTGCTGGGAGAGGGCCACCCACGCTGGCAACTGCAGTGGGTGGGGGCCCCAGAGCCGATGGCAAGTGGGAGTTGGTGAGAGCAGTTCTGGGGTTCAGATACCAAGGACTGGCGCGGCCCGCTGCCTCTCAGCCTGCCTGGGGGCCATGCCCTGCTTGGAGCCGTGGGTGCCCTTGCAAGCACACAGCATCTCCCCTCAGCCTTGCCCCCTCGGTTCTCTGTCCTGTGACTCCAGACATTCCCATCAAACTGAGCCAGAGTCCACTGCATTTGACTGGCACTTCTTGAGCGTCCCTTCCTGGGACCATCGTTCTCACTCTGCCTCTCATCTTGTTCACGCTGGATGGGGAGAGGCGTGAGTCCGCGCACAGCTGAGGGCTCTCCAGGGCGTCTGCGTCACCGTCAGTCATGAGAATGGCGATGGCTTGTCTCTGCCTCGTCCCAGCTGCTTGGCCTCTGGAAGGCGCCCTGGGCTTTGAGGAGGAGGGAAGTGGAGCTGTGGGGCAGGGCTGGCACCAGCTGCCACGTGTTGCCCAGGGTGAGTACCCAGTGAGGTCATGGCTGGGCAGGGGAAGCCAGACACACTCAGGGCATGAGAAATGCAGAGGTGCAGAACCCGCCTTTGGGGTGAGTGACTCCAGCCATGGTTGGTGTGGGGCTGCGGCTAACATGTGGCACAAGCCTGGCTGGCATCCCCCCCACAGGTATGCAGCAAGCAGGTGAGGGCTTGGCATCTTCGGCACCCACTGCTGGTGTCCGGGTGGGAGGCTGAGCCCGCACAGCAGTGCCAGGCAAGCTTCGATGCAGCACCTGGTCAGTCCAAGCACATTTGAGAGCTCAATGCAACAGGTCCAATAGCATGGTCTTGATTAATGCGTGTCAATCACGCCTTTGACAATTCAGCTGTTTCTGTGGCATGCACCCCAAGCAGGAACGAGCAGGAGCTTATCAGATAGGGTGTGGGGGGCTCCTGATGCCCCTGCTGATGGCACAGACTGGGACGCCGAGAGTCCTGGAGTAGCTGCCTCCTGCCCAGGCCTCGGGGAACACCCGGGCACAGTCCAGGCCAGTGCCCAGCGTGGAGGGCCACGCGCAGAGCCTCAGCCGCGGAGAGGCTGGCGCTGAGGAGTGGGCATGCCACCACCTGCTCTGCCTCCTCCTCTCTGCCGGGCACCGCCTGGCACCCAGGTGAGCACAGGTGTGCGGTGGTGATGGTAACACAGCCTTTGGGGAAGGGCCACTTGGGGTCCAGGTCCCCACCCAAAAGAAAGACAGAGGCGAACAGTGGTTTCAAAGTTAGGACGCGGTCATACGGGTGAAGCTGAGGTGCATACGTCCGGCCTGTCACAAAGGTGACCCCAGGACCATGAGGGTGTCTTCTGTGAGCGCCCACCCTTCCCTGCCCTGCTCTGCTAGGGGTGGCAGAGCACTCAGGAGACCCTGGGCAGGGCTTGGCTCTCCCCAGCCCCCAGCACTACTTGGCCGAAGGCTCACACCTCCCTTGACAGTCGAGAGCTTCGTGGGCTCAGCTGGGCCGAGGACCGCGCTGCTGCCGGCTGAGTCCAAAGCCCGAGGTGGGAGAGGGTCCGAGTGCTCGGCTCTCACCCTGCGAAGCACTTCCGGTCCGAGTGCTCGGCTCTCACCCTG